CCCTTGTCCCCTGCATCGGCAGGCGGACTCTCAACCACTGCGCCACCAGGGAAGCCCTGTTAAGTGTTTTGAGTGTGACGGTGGTGTTGTAGTTATGGTTTGAAAGAGTTTTACCTTTTACAGATACATTCTAAAATACTTATAGATAAATTGATGTGACATCCACATTAGCTTTAAAATCAGAGGACGGTTGTGTGGCGTGCACGGGGAGAGAGGCAAAGCAGGACTGGCCACGGGCTGATGATTGTTGAGATTGGGTGGTGTGTGCACGGAGGTTCACCTCTCTGCCTTGTGTATGTTTGACATTTTCTATAAGAAAATTTAAGGAGTATGTTAAAGCACTGTCTACAAAATGCCGGGGTTACTGTCTAGTCCCCAGTAGGCCTACAGTAAATGGCAGCTACCATGGTTATTGGAGGTGGTGCTGTCACCAGCATCAGCGTCACGTCCTCATCTGTGGGAAACAGTCAGTCCTCTGGTGTCCCAAGTTCATACTTGCAAGGATTTGCTCTCTGTTACACATAGACATCGGAATGCCAGTTCCTGATGTAGAGCACCATCTCTCCTGGCCAGTTGGTGCTTTCGTTAGTGCAGTCATGGCGCTCTCCTCTGGAGGTCTCGCTCCTTACAGATCCTGACACCTTCAGCAGAACTGTGACTCAATAAAAATATTTGACACCAAGCCACGCACTAGACTCCAGAAGTGAGACAGTAGAGCAGCTAAGAAGCTGGGCAGGGGGTGGTCCCCGTGTGACGACAAGCTGCCTGTTAACAGCAGCTGGGCTGTCGCCAGCCTCCCAGGAATGCCCTGTAAAGCACTGTCCTTCCCACAGGTGGTTATTACAAAGAGTACCCCAAAGAGGGGAAGCCAGTCCGTGCCCATCCTGTTCATCACAGGCTAAGCCATTCCTCGGATCCAATCAGTGTTGGCCACTATGTTGCTTAATGGTACTTAAAAGGAAATATGCTTGTTTGTTCATTTATGCATTCATCAGACATTTATTGGGTGTCTACTAAATGTCAGGCTGGAAATGCCTAAATGAACTTGACCACTTGGCTGTAAAAGAATAATCACATTCTATTCTGAACCTGTGTGAGTAACTGATAAGTGCTTATAGAGAGTGATCGCTTTGGCTCCTAAAAATTGTATGTAAAATCCCCTTTTTGTTCTTCTTTATTGGTGACATCCATGTTTCCTGCCTTGTAGTTCCAGAAGGAGGTGATTATCAATATCTAGTTCTTGTGAAAATTCCGTCCCACCTCTTCTCTCCTTAGGTATAAGATACCTGTGAATGTCTCTTTAGCTTCTCGTACTCTCGTGAGTCCTGATTTTGCACAGCTGTATTTTCTCTGGTCAGTTGTATTTCTCATATCCTTCCTATAATCGGAGCAGCATGAGTAGCGAAGATTTGCTGAGATCTCGCTCTGTGCCAGGACCTGTGCTCGAAGCTTGCCGAGTGTTATGTGATTACCCGTCCTCTCCTCCCTTCCACCGTCACCACTGCTGTGCCTTCCTCTCGGCCTTCCTCACGGCAGGAGGCCCGGGCACAGGGGAGATAAGGGCGGTGTTGGTGGCCATGGGAAGAGCAGAGGAGACAGCAGAAGAGCACACACGAGAACCTCTGAGCGTGTGTCATCTCTAGTTATGAACAGCATACTCTGTTCCCTACGGCAAGAACGTGTTGCAGGAAGCTTTCCACCAACGCTGGTTTTAAAAAGTCTCGGCACTTGCAAAGAGAAGTTTTGTCTTTGGGAAGTAGGTTTTTACTGGAGCACTGATTTCTCAGGGGTGCCTGCTTAATGGGCTGCTGCAAAAGCGTTGCTTATGTGCATTTGTTTTGTCTTAATCCATTACCCTGCGACTTCTGGGTAATAGGTGATCTTCTAGAAGGTCACATGGATGATGCTGTGTTTTTATTTAGCCAGCAACAGAAACTCCGGAGGAGCCCTCCACCCAGTACCTGCATATCACCGAAGCCGAAGAGGACGTCCAGGGCACACAGGCAGCGGTGGCTGCCCTCCAGGACCTGAGATACACCTCAGACAGTGGTGAGAGCGTGCCCCCTGCCTCCCTCTGACACCTCAGAACTGGTCTTTGATAGACACGCTGAATGAATGACTTTACGGATGAATTATGTCTGCCAGTTGGTCTCCTTCCACTGCATTCTGACCACTGGCGCGGTCCCATTGTCAGGCTTGGAGGTAGAGCTCTCCTGCAGTGTTCTGGAACAGGGCCCCAGCCAAGGTGGTGCCGCCTAACAGGGTTGCCGGATGTTCACATGTAGGATCACCTCTCAGAGCAGGGAGAAGCAGGTCCTACTGTCCTCACTCCACAGATGTGGAAGATCGCCTCCTTGTAAACGGTTGGCTGAGGATCGTCCACTTGTTGGGTGTTGGAGCTGGTCTTGGAATCGAGGTCTCCTGACTTCTTGTTGGGACTGCCCACTTCCCAGTTCTTCTGAAAAGCCCCAAGTCAGGATTTTTATGTCAAATGTCATCAGTTTCAAATGTTCGATCAATTTGAAAAAACAAACCATTGTGCAAGCCTAGTGGCAACTGGGGCATTGTGCTTAGAAAACATTTTCTTGATGCTCTTTTCCAAACAGGAAAGGAGTACGAGTTTATATAATGTACCACAGCCCTCTGGGTATTTGGGGGACAGAGGTCAAGCAAGTGGGATTAGAGGAAGCATTAAGTGAAGTCAGCTGGTGATGGGAGACAGGAAATTGCCATTTCATCCAGCTCTTACATCCCTAAACCCCAGGTTGTAAGAAGGGTGCGCAGAAAACCCCTTGGGGCCGGTCACTTTGGGGAAGATTCATTGCCGGTGCTGTGCTCACCGGGGGATTCGGGAGACAGCTCTGCAGCCTGTGAGAGAAGCAGGCTCTGCAGATGGGGCGTCAAGGTGCCGGCTCTTGGTGCGGTTCCCAGAGCTGACGCCATGTCTCAGTGCGTGTTTCCTTCCTCATGTCCAGTGACTTCAGCGATTGCTCAAGCCCTGCCAGGACAGCCTGTCCATCTTCATCCCCACCAGCGCTCACTCACTCACTCCTTCAGCCCTCGGCATCTCCTCCTGGCTCTTAGGAAACACGGCAGACGCTGCAGCTCGGCATTCGGGCCACCTGCTCTAGGCCCTGGCCTCCCTGCGCTGCATCTCTGGCCACCTTGGAGCCGTGCCCTCCTGGGCCAGACTCTGCCGTTCTCGGCGTGAGCTGTGTTTCTCACCCACACGCTCCTGTGACCTCCGGGGCCTGGTCTGTTCCCCTCCCCGCACAGCACTTTTTCTGGCGAACACGTCTTCGCCTTCAGTATTCAGATGGTGTGTCATCTCCCGGGAGCCCGCCTGACTTTCCCACAGAGCCCCCTAGTGGCCCCCCTGATATGGAACCGACCAGGGGCTGTATGATTCGCTTACGGTCTGTCTCAGTCACCTGTGAGCCCGGAAGGGATGGGGGGAGGCAGCGTTAGATCTTTGTCTGTATCCCAGCTGTCCCCAGCCTTTCTGGCACCAGGGACCATTTCTGTGGAAGACAGTTTTTCCAAGGATGGGGGGAGGGGATGCTTTCGGGATGATTCAAGCGCATTACATTTATTGTGCACTTTATTTCGATTACTGTTACATCAGCTCCACCTCAGATCATCAGGCATTAGATCCCGGGAGTTGGGGACCCCTGCTGTATCCCACTGGGAACCCTGTTCCTGGCTGACAGTTCGGGCTTGATAAATGGTCATTGAGGGAGTAAATGGATGAGGAATTAAAATCTTATTTCAGTACATTTTTTAAGGTCAGTGTTTTGTTTAGTGTTTAGATGTTTAGAGTGGTTGGCTGCAAGGCAGAGTTGAAACCCGCCCCCCTGCTGAAGGAGAGTGTGTGTGTAGGTGTGAATAGGTGTGTGTAGGGGATGCTAGGCTGGTGCATGGTGAACAGGTGCTAATGTCCTTGCCTCAGTCGTATGCCACGTCCTACCCTCTGTGTAGAACACATTGAATTCCCTTCCCTCATCACTTACTGATTCGCATTGGAACGTGGCCTGCAGAAAGTCGTCCAGGAGTATGTAGACGTTGGTGGAGACTTCATGATATTATGCTAGCCTGGAGATCAGGTAGTAATTTCCCTCTTAGTGAAGTAATGATCAGGGTCAGAGTGCTGTGTTCTGGAGAGTCACAGATGGCCAAGCAGATGGTGAGAGCTGAGTGAAAGGGTACACTCAGTGGCTGCCCTGATGATATGGATTACAGTCTTTTGAGATGATTAAAAGAGAATCCTCAGCTTACATTAATTTAGAATTCTAAAGCCCACTGGTTTGATGACTGAGCACCCTTTGGTGCACTGCCGTATCCTGTGTAATGTATCTGGCACATGCTCACTGACCACCTCCCATGCCTGTGCTCAAGGAGAACCAGCTCTGTGGTTTGACGTCATAGCTGGTGCTTCTCAGGAGTTTCTGTTTTGAGAGGCAGTCCTGTATCAACAAGTTTGGATTCAGAACATCTGGGCTTGAGCCCTGGCTTTGTGACATAACTGACCCAAGGGCCTAAGACAATCCTCTTCCATTTTTTTGCAGTGAGGTGACTGATCTATAAAGTGGGGATAATAGTGTCACAATGTCGTCTCCTCGCAGGTTGTTTGGAGTTTTGAGATGTTCTTATAGAGACTGCATTGTCGGCTGTGAAGTACCATGCACATTATTTCTGTGGTCAAAATGAGCACTTACTGAGAACCTGTGCATCCCTGGAGAAGGCGCCGCGCAAGAATGGCCTCTGCTAAGGGCTGCTTTTGCGTTCAGTGACCTTCACCACCCACGGCCTTACCGGTCTCCTGTTTGCTTCTTCCTGGCAAGGTGACCGACTTGACCCCACGGCTGTAAACATCCTCCAGCAGATCATCGAGCTGGGCACCGAGACGCACGACGCCACTGCCGTTGCCTCGGTGGTTGCCATGGCACCCGGGACGGTGACTGTCCTGAAGCAGGTAGGACCTTGCCCTCCCCGTTAAATACTGTCTCCTTGCGCTGACACACACCCTCTCTCTCCCCTGCCCCCTTAGGTTTTCAGGGCTTTAACCTGTCTAAGGTGGAATTTGGAATGAAATCGGTCTACTCTCATGCGGTTTCTTCTTACTATCATGGGATTGTATCTGCGGTAGCGCCGTATGTGAGGCTGTGTTGTAGGGGAAAGATGTAGTATATTTCAAAAAGTTCTGGAAACTTGATTCATTTCCTTTCAATGAAAGGCATCCCAGAGTGAAACGAGCGTGATATGGATGCATTTGGACGCATCTATGGTCAAAAGCAGCCTCGGTCCCTAAGGCCGGAGTCTGTGGAGCAGGGCCACTGGGGGGACAGCCAGGGAGGCCAGGAGGGACTGGCCTCTTAAGTGTTAAACATCACCAGACGGAATCAGCACAGGATGACTGAACTAAACTGATAGGAAGAAGATGGCCAGTGTTTGAATAAAGGTTACTCTAGTTAATTGTCATACTGTTTGGTTCATTTCCTCTCCTTCTAACCTCAGGAGAGACTTTGCCATCTGTTAGGATGCGGCGTGTGTGATAATCAGATCATCCTTTGTATCTGTCTGTAGCTCTCTCTCTACTCTCTCCTGCTTCACTGTACACAAGATTTGAGCTGGCTTAACACAAATACTTAAAAAAGCAAAAACAACAGAAAGCACATCAGAACCAGGGCAGACCCCAGGTGTGTGGTTTAGAATCAAAGTTCACGTTCATGGAGAAGGTTGAATTGCAGAGCACAGAGTTTTACACGGTTATCCATCTTTCAGTGATTCACTCAGGAAGCGTGTAGCTAAGTGCCCGCAGTGTTCTCATTGCTGGGGTTCCAGGAGAGAAGCGATGTTTGCCATCAAAGTGGTTGCTCTCCTGGGAAAAAGATAAGTAAGACAGAAAGGCTGTCAAATGGTGAACGGGAGCAGTGGAAAAAAGTAAAACGAGAAAGGGGGAGGGGCATGGGCCGAGGAGCCGGGGTGTTGGGGGCTGTTTTATGAAGGGCTGCTGGGGCAGCTGTCTGACATCTGCTCACAGACCTGGGAGAGGTGGGCGTTACTAGAATGATCCAAGTTCTGCTGTACACTTGGTTCTGAACCTGAAAACAAAAAACAAGAAGCGTGAAGCACTTAACAGCGGAAGAGGTAAGTTTTTCTTGGCAAGTAACTAATAATCTCTTAATTCGGCTCTCGCGTCCCTGAGTGACATGTCCCCCGCGACCTGCCTTTGATGACTCGGTGGACTTCCCAGGGCTGTCTCCATGACCGTCCCCCCAGGTGTGCCCGGGCCACAGCACAAAGCATGAAATTCAGGCTGAGCAGTTCGCGGGGGAATTAGTACATATGCTGGTTCACCTCTGGATTTCTGGATCCACAGACAAGACTTGGCGCCTCTAGATGAACGTTTGGACTGCGGGTCTGGAAACCCTCCTCCATTAGTATGCTTTCTGTCAACGAGACCCTGGACAGAAGTCAGACAGGACAGTAGGAGTTTGATGTTTCAGGCTGCAGGGGTCTGGTGTTCTGCACTGTTTGGGAACAGACTCTTACACCTCTAGGCCAGACACTCTTGCAGCTTTTCTTTGTATTTATTAGACTGCAATCTTCAGATTGTCTTGTAAATCTCTTCTGAAACTCCCGGCACTTCAGGAAGGGTATAGGAGAACTTTGGATGTTTCGTACACACCAAATCCTTTAGAGAATTGCAGGGAGGCGCCACTGATTGTGACTTGTATCTTCCTTCTAGGAAGTGGATTGATTTGCTGTTACTTAGAGACGTGATTTATTGCGCGTCGCAGGCGATGCGGTGATACATGAGGCTGCGGGTGAAGGGTACAGCTTAGATGTGCTCTGAGACGCTAGAGTGACAGCATGACAAGGGATAAGGCAGGTGAGCCTCTGGCGCAGCCAGTGTAAACAGGTGTAAAGTGCTTGCAGTGGCAGAAAACAGTGGCACCCTTCAGTCTCGTGGTTTATTGGGAAACACAGGGCTGAGAGGAGTGTCACTGTTTAACACAGTCTTGAGTAACTGCATTTGGAAATGTTCCCGAGGACGTGTGTCCTAGTCATTCTCCTGTCCACCTGGTTGGCACCTGGCGCACCGAGGCTGTTGATAAATGATGGATGGGAGATTGGATGAATGGACCGACGGGTGGGAGACGTCAGACGCCCACTCCAATGGCAAAGGGATTGCATCGTGTCAGGCTCTCCTAGGTGAAGGGATGCCCTCTGGATTCAGTTGTCTTATTTCAGTTTAAATGTAGCTGTTTTTATTAGAGAAGTGAATCCATTTCACCTTTTTTTGTTTTCATTAAACTGTGGTTTAGGATTTTTCAGTAGAGAAATTATATCTGTTTATTGAGTGTCCTTAAGCCACTCAAATGTGGACCCTGGTGCACCTTTTGGGAAGCAGTAATGTTGTCCCTTCACCCTGTGGGGAGCCCTTGATGTTGGAGACTTCGTCCTCCTCCGGCTCAAGGTCTCACACATCGTAGTAGCTCAGTAAATGTTTATTAAGTAGGATGGAGTATGCTGTGGGCTTTATGTTGTGATTCTCCAATTATATCCTGTAGAAGAAATAGCAAGAACACATTGTCATAAAGTATGTACTATATATTGTAGAAAAAATGATTTTAAATTACTATTGGATAGCATGTTTTGAGATCTTTTAAAAGTTTCCTATTTTATATGTACCTATCTATCTATCTATATCTCTTCCAAAAGGCCAAAAATAAATTCTGGGTTGTATGTGAATCCATTCTGGATGTTTAAAACTTTCAAGATTTCTTTCCCATATAAAAAATTAGTTATATGCTCTGTTTATAATTTTTTCATGCTATATTAATGTAAATTGAAAACAATCTCACATATCAAAGTTTATCAGTGGTAACTGAAAGTTATTTATTAATCTCCAGTCTTTAGGGGTTCTCATTTTCTGGGATGAAAATACTAACAGGCCTGGTAGGTAGGCTGAGGGGATTGGAAAGCTAAGAGCTGAGGGTGTTTCTTAGGTTGTTTTCTTCTTAGTTTTTAATGAGACATGGAAAGGATTTGGCCCATAATTCAGACCATTTAAGTTTTCAGTTGGACACAGAAATGAGTCCTCAATGATTTCCCATCACTTCTCTCTTTCCCCAAGTGTCGCATTAAAAATAGATTCATGGGGATGGAGCATTTGGAAATGTTCAGAAAGAAGAAACCTTGAATGTGCCTCACCAGCCTGGCCTGAGAAGTCACATGACAACTTTGAATGCAGCTACTTGTGTGTTTGTTAAGACCAGTTTTCATTAAATAAATTGGTTTCTTTTTTTCTTTTTCTTTAAAAAAATTTTTGCTTTAGGGTTTTATGAGGAGGAGACTTATATTTGATGAATAAAGCTGCCTAAGTAGGTTGAATGTAAGACGTACCAGCAGAGGGGAAATATTATCACAAGCATCTCTGAGTCAAAATTAGTTATCAAAAGGAAAAGAAAGACCAGTGAAAATAGCAACCACCATCACCGTTGGCTCATGGCTTAAATCACTCTGCTGTCCTTGTGGGTTGAAATTTATTTTAGAGACTGAAAGTGACATTTTACTGGAAATTCCCGACGTCCGTTTAGCAGACATTCACTGCGCAGGCGCAGTGTGTTCAGTCCCTGGGGCGTCCGTTTCCTATCGCGGCTGCAACAAATCACCACAAACTCAGTGGCTTAAAACAACACAGATTGATGATCTTCCAGTTCTGGAGGTCAGAAGTCTGAAATGGGCTTCACTGGGATGACATCAAGGCGTCGACAGCTGCCTTCCTTCTGGGAAGAACCCCTGTCTTGCTTTTTCCGGCCCAGGGGCCACCCAGCATTCCTTCACTGCGGTTCCCTTCTTCCATCTCCAAAGCCAGCAAAGGCAGGCCCGGATCATCCCGCATCCATCGCTCTGACCTCTGCCTCTGTCGTCACATAGCCCTCTCCAAGTCTGACCAACCTCCTCCCTCCTTTAAGGACGCTTGTGCCTACCTTGGACCCACCTGGATAATCCAGGATCTTCTCCCATCTCCAGGTCATCGACTCAATCACATGGGCTAATGTCCACGTAAGGGAACCGTTCTCAGATTCCGGAGGTTAGGACATGCACTCTTTGGGGTGGGGGCATTATTCTGCCTGCCACTCTGGGTTACAGGGTTAAGGCGGTCCCCGATCTCAAAAGGCAAATAGTCTAGTGAGGGAAATGCTTTATTTTTTTCATCCAGCACACAGCCCCCGAGCTGCTTCCCACCCGCCAGGTTGCTGCTCTCGGTGCTTGGGATATCGCAGTGAACAGAGCAGATGAACGGTACGGTTGAGGAGCTTACATGCTAATTTAGGGAGCTAGCTAAGCCCCAGACATATAATAACTAAGTAAGTAAGATAGTATGTTAGAGGTGAGATGGGAAAAAATGAGCAGAACTGGTCCAGAGGTCTGGAGAATGTAGACCTTAAGCAGGAAGTTCCAACTGAGAGTAATGAATGCTTCCGGGAGGTTGGCCGAGAGCACTCCGGGGTGCTGGGGGGTGGCCCAGCCCGACCCTGGGTCTGGGGTGGCGGCAGGTGCTGGGCCGGGCGGCCCCTGTGGATGTGCTGATGTGCGCCCGAATAGAGTCTTGCAAGGTAGCTGGGAGTTGGGTGGGGCAGGGCTCCAGCAGAGGTGGGAGCAGGAGCTGGTCGTTGATGCCGCTGGAAGCGGGGGAGGGGGCGATGAGTCACCACTTAGGTTAAATGACACGCCCCGTCCTCACCTCGGGGGCGCAAAGGGCTGGGAGGAGTCCTGGTCCAGGAAGCGCCTCAGCCTGGTCTCTCTCCCTCCGGCTCAAAGGCCAGTGGAGAAAGGGTGAGTCCAAGCAGCCCACGTCTTCCTGTTGCTTCTCCAAGCCCGACGTCCTTCCCCTATGGGCTTCCTGACCTGTGCGACCCTCCTGAAAGCCTTGTTGGCATTTTTAACAAATCACAGTCTCCA